GCGGTCCAGCCAGTAGGGAAGGCATCAGTAAGAGGCAGCCATTCCTTATCATCAAGCTTATCGGGAAGCTTGGCCAGGGATGAATCAGCCCATGGAATTCGAGCATACTCAGCTATTTACAAGCGTCAGATGCACGAATACAAAGATAAATAAGGACGCGGTCTCACCTTGTAGTCCTGTATCGCCATGGAACATTCCACCAAGGCCAAGGCCAATAATAGGTTGATCGGTCACAAGCATCGAAGGCTTGGGTAGCAAATTCCCATCCTCTGCGAAGGCCAGAATCAGAACTCGGTCGCCGGGCTTCAAGAAGTCCACGGCTGGGCCGACTTCCTCAACGATGCCAACAGCCTCATGACCCACGCCGAACTTTTCTTCGGTGCCAAAGAGACCATGGTAAATGTGAAGATCAGAGCCACAGATAGCAGATGTGGTGATGCGAACAACTGCGTCTTCTGGTTCGATGAGCTTGGGGCGTGGAATGATGTTGACAGACATGTCACGAACGTTGCCCTCCCACTGGACAGCGCGCATAAAGCCCGTTTTCGAAGAAGTATCCATATTGATGAAGGGAAAATTTTAGAAGGCACACAAGAATTGGCTAGGCAAGAGATCCTTGCTTGAAGTGAAGTTTCTTCTTTTGTTGTTCACCGAGTAGACAAATCAATTTATACCAAGTAATCCCTGTCAGCATCAATTCCGGTCAGGTTCTCAAAAGGAGGAAATGACGTGATATAGACAAACTCTTTCCGTCACAAGATTTTAAGCTTAGCTGAGAAATGTAAGAAATGCTACCCTTAAGGATGCTTTGGGATATTTTATGGTAAGCGGAAAGAACTTGTGATGGGAACCGTCAGCGCCCAGCCTCACCGCGTAAGATTGGTCGGGGTAATACGAGGCTATGTTCAGAGAGCGTGACCAGTAGTAGGAACTTATGTAACTGGAAGAATCCTTTTTTGTCAGTCGAAAGTTCTTATAGGCTTATGATGAAAGGGCTGAGAGATGTGAGACATCTTGTGCGTACTATCAGGCATAATACTCCGTAGGCTTACTACAGTATCAAATGACGCATTGGAATAAGATTTCTAACTGTAGTTGTTGGTAATTATTTTGAGAACTATCTTCGCCAGATCTTGATTGGCAGCTTGCCCATGATTAAGTTGAAGGCTTCGAACCTGTCTACCGTGAAGTCCTTAGTCGGCATCGCAAAGTCATATCGATGCACCAAAGTAGCCAATACAATCTGCTGTTCCAAGTACGAGATGTTTCGTCCGATACACCCTCTCGCGCCCGCCGAGAATGGGATAAAGAATGGTTCCATCCTCTTACGTTCCTCCAGGTTGAGCCACCGCTCTGGCTTGAAGACATAAGGCTCGGGATAAATGCCCTCGTTGTGGTGAGCGCTCCAAATAGTCATTGACACAGATGTATCACCTGGGATCCAGGTGTCCATGATTTTAGCGCCTTCAGGTGGTGTACGTCGGGGGAGGCCTGAGCTGACGGGAGGAATGAGGCGAAGGCCTTCATCAAGGCAGGCTTTAAGATATGGCAGGTCTTTGACCTTGTCAAATGGCGCGATGACGTCGTCTTCATCCATGACAGCTGCGACTTCATCCCTCAGCTTTTGCATCTGCTTGGGATGGCTAATCAACAGTTGAAGGATATGTGTCAGAGCAATAGCTGTAGTCTCGGCTCCAGCATCAATGATAGCAGAGGTCTCAGCGACAATCTCTCCCCACTCGAGCTCATTTGGCACACCGTTTTTGTTAACCATAAGGCACGAGAAGAAATCATCCAGTTTCTCTCCAGCCTCATATCTCCTGAGTCTGTCCTTAGCTTGGTGGTAGCAAACGTCTCCCCAAGGTGCACTGGTGGCCCAGTAGCTCTTCCACTTGTTGGGGACAACTTTGGAGATGCGAGCGAGCCACGGGTAGAGTTCGTACTCCCAGACGAAGACTGACTTGCACATGGCTGCGGCGTTCTGTGCTTGGCGATATCGTGCGGGATAGAGTGTTCCGTCAGGCTTTTCGGCAATGACTTCATCAGTACCAGTCTCGAGGAGAGTCATCTTTGAGGAGAGGGCAATGTAGTTGATTGCTTCGATAGTCCAGAGATTGATCCAGTGGTTGAAGTCAACTGTGAGATCTTCGGGGTCAGGATTGGTGTTAGGCTTGAGAGGTCCCGTGCATCGCTGATCAAAAGCATCAAGCAATCTCTGCGTGGTATACTGCACTTTGAACTCCCACTTCTCAAGATTCCTTGTCGCAAAAGCAGCAGATAAAAGTCTTCGCTTTCTGCTATGATCACCCTTATCAACAACATCAAATAGGTTACGATGCGTTCCAGCCAGGACTGTCTCTTTGTGATCTTTGGTGCATTTTGTCTGATGACCGTAAATGTCTCTGACAGCTTGGGGATGGCTGAATGACAATGCATTGGGCCCGATTCTAAGAATATGTTTGCCACGACGATCATGTTCAGTAGCAAGTGTCTCTGATCGAGTGCCGGTGTGACTGAGATAACAGTGGCGCAAATCCGTTAGAGGAGAAAGCCACGAGAAGTTTGCATATTTCCTCAGACCCTTTGGATCAATGAAGTACAAGATGATGGGGAAGATGACAAGACGAATGAATAGACCTGCAAGGCCGGCCCCAAGGAGAATAAAGCCAATCATGGTTGTGAAGGGGTCACGATGAGGGTGAGTTGATCGATCTCGAATTCACGAGGAGCCGGATCTTATATCTTGAGCTTTCGACATTATGGGCCAAATAGTACGGCGACAACACCGATGCATAACGAAGACGTGCACCAATGAAACTACTCTGTTTTCTCCATATCCAACAGATTTTGATCTCTATTGTTAGATAAATTGCCCGCGGGATTCGCTTTTCGGCGAAACGCTTCCTAATTGAGACGCGTGGCCAAGCACCTAGAGGAGTAAATTTCCGTTCCTGGTAATGGTGTCGAAATGGTGGGATTGCGGAGTTGTGGGGAAGATATGTGCTAACATGACATCAATCATGGGCCAAGAAGGGTAATTGATTCCGCGGAAAGCAAAATGTGAGCTCAATGGTCAATGAACAAATGCTAAGTATCAATGAATCGTGCTTCTCATTCTGCGCAGTCTAAGAAATTCTACTGGTCCATCTTCTGTATCTCAAATAGCTGCGGCAGCAAACCGGACAACATGTCGTCCAAACTCTGCCACTTGATATCCAAAGCCTTCTCAGTTGCACTTGCATCTACACCAAAATGCGTAGAAGCCTCCCTTAGCCCCGGTGATCCCTTGGGGATATTATCCTTATTCTTCCCGGCGACCTCCCTTGCGACATCAGCGATCTCTTGGTTACAATACACTCCCGCCGCAAGAAGATATCTTTCACCACTTGCTTCAGGGACCTGAATGGCCTTGAGGTGCGCAAGAGCGACATCTTTGACACTAACCCAGACAGGGCCTTTAGTGGCAGGTATCGTGCCGTCTTGGCCGGCGGAGACAATGCCATAGACGATTTGGTTGGAAGTGTTGAGATGTTCTGATGACTTGGGCACAGCGCCTTGTAGAAATGGTCCGAACACCATAGCCGGGTTCAAGCTTACAAGATCAAAGTGCGCAGTTGGGTTCTCTTCCATCCACTTCCACGCCACCTTTTCGGCAACAGTCTTGCTGGCGCGGTATGCCACTGCTGCGGCTGGTGCGTTTACACCATCCTCATATGTCAACGGAGACCAATCTTTAGCCGTATAAATCTTGCCTGGCTGCAATCCCTTCGAGGCATCGTAGATACCTGCAAACGAATTGGTGTGTACAATGCGCTTGACGCCACCAAGCTGATTTGCTGCGTTGAGGATGGCAGTTGAACCCTTGACAGCAGGGATCATGAGGTCTTTTTCCAAGTCTGTTGTATCATAGTGAAAGGGAGCTGCGAGGTGTAGAATTGCATCAGGTCGAATGGAGCCAAATGCTGATATGTAAGATTCAACGGAAGTGATGTCCTCAACTACTCTGACAGAGAGATTGGGATCTCTGCCATGTAGTTCAAGAACTTGCTCAACTTTGGTTTGAGATCTGACGGTGCCCAAGACCTTGTATCCTTCACACAAAAGAAGAGCGATACAGTGTTGGGCTATGAAGCCATTGGCTCCAGTGACGGCGATAAGAGATGGTGGCAGAATGGGCTTGGGATATGCTGAAGGCATTTTGGCGGCGACAACTTCAGTGACTGGATGCGATAAGGCTGGAAGTCAGGTTCAGGTTATGATTGGAGATGTTTGAAGAAGACTATCAAGGCGGTCATAATCGAACATACAGTACAGAGGTCTATTCTATTCTATTCTATTGGCAACCCAGCTCACCCGCGGTATTCATCACCTGTTCTCCTTTTGGTTTAGCGCTGTCATGGCCGTCGCAATGATAACTTTGCGACGGCTGCAGACCAAAGCGCCAGACCAAAGCGCGTCCCGCTTTCTCGTAACAGCCGGATAGCGGCGCTGATTTTGTCCGATTGCCGATTGATTCTCCTCATGCTGACATGACATCACAAGCAGATTGTCTGTTATTCCGCATGGGCAAACACTTTGGCATTGTGTTCGATATTTACGCCAAGTCATTCACTTACTTTCGATTCACTTGTCCCAGTTCAGGCGCTGTTGTCGCCTGTTAACTGACAGTTTGTGACGGGTTATCGTGATCTTGCCCCACTGGCTGATAACATCTGTTATCGGCGCTATCAGTCTTGCGATAAGGATAAGGAACGGTCAGTCACCCTACACACAGTCAATAATCCTAGCGTGACCATGTAAAAAACACAGGAACAAAGCGGTTTTATATGATCTCATAAATATCAGACGGTTTTAAATAGCAGCAAGATACCAAATCTATGGAAGGCTGGCCACCGTTGTGCAGAACCATATCAATCTATTAAGAACAAACCTACAGCTTGCATCACATCCATCTTCTTTTGAGGTCAACGCCTTATGCTCAGCGATTATATTAATGACGACTAAACTCCCGCAATTGCCCTCTTCTTCAAAACAGCCGAGTTCTCATTTAATCCAGCCCAGTCATGAGCATCCAAGCAAGCCTGTCGACTCAACAACACAGCGACCTTGGTCCTCTCCCTTAACTCCGCCTCATACTCATCAATAGCTTCATTCAACCCCTTGCCTTTGTGATAGGCCCCCTCCAAAGCTTTTGTCAACCGATAAGCATCAAGGATACCATGGTTCGCTGCTTCGCCTCGATACATGGTCATCGCATGCGCCGCATCGCCAGCTAGAGTAACCCTACCGTTGCGATTATCCCAAGGTGGACATGGCCAGTCCTGTAGGACTATCTCAATCACTTCCGAGCCCTCTGGGATTCTTTGTACAGTGTCCCGAAGGACGGGATTGAATTCTGTGGCTCGTTGCTTCATATATGCCAAGCGCTCCGCGTCTGTGGCTTTGACCTCGTCTTCTGGTGTTTTCATAGGCCACGAGATCATGACTTGTACGCGATAATGCTCATCCTTTGTTCCAGCAGTGCCATTAACGACTGGTGTTTCCAGCATGCTGAACCAGAAGAACGTCCCTGTCTCAGGGTGACAGCCTTGGAACAGAAGAGGATCGATATCTTTTAATGGCTTTACCTGATCTGGTGTGAGATCTAGAGCAGCGCCGGTAAATCGTACCGGCAGTCGAATATTTCGGTATGACTCTGGTGCTAAGAATTTCCTTGTTCTTGAGTTACTGCCCTCAACACCGACTATGAGAGACCCTTCAGCTCGAGATCCATCCTCGAACGCAGCGACAACGCCGTCGTCGGGCTCTTCAATTGAAGCAAGTCGCTTGTCCCAATTGACGTGGTCCGACACACTTTCGAGCAAGACCTTGCGCAGCTTCTCTCTATTGACTCGTCGTCGATCGCCAGGGGGGATGAGAAATTTTGGCTCCAGGGTCTCGAGATTGATGAAGACGAATTTTCCGAGCCCTTGACGGTCGGCCTCTGGGTCGACTTGGACTGATTCGACGTCCTTGAATGCTTCTTCCGATAAGAGTTCTCTCAGGAATGGGAGGACCCAATGGAGTGTTATGGCCCAGCCTTGACCGCGGGAGCTGATGTGGCTGTCGCGTTCGTAAATCTGAAAGGGAATGCCAAGCTTCATGATCGATGTTAGTGGGGTGATTGATGAGGTTGTTTGAGAGGCGGATTACCTTCTTGAGGCCATGGGCGAGGACAAGGCCAACAACTCCAGCGCCAATTATGAGAACTGGCTTACGGTCTTTGGACATGGTGATGTTGGCGTGAGCTTCACACAAAGAATGATCAATAGATGGGTTTGTGTTCAATCTTGGTCGCTTTGAACAAGGGGAAATACCAGGGTTTATTCTCTCATAATATCAGATTGACCCTCGAGACACTTCGCAGTTGAAGTGGGTGCGACGGCATCACACGTCATGAAGCCCTTATCGGGATTATCTACGTTACAGTGAGGTCCCAGCAGCGCGGTTCAGTGCATCCAGCGCAGTGAGGGGTCCGTCGGAAGTCGCCGTTATGCAGCCGTCGGAAAAGCCTCATGAGAATTGCGCGCCAGACTAACTCGAATTGTCACTGTAAGATAGCGGGGACCGCGGAAATTAATGATCTTTGCGACAAGGCAATTCGTATTGGAACATGCGCCGGAACTGGATGCGATGGAGGTGAAAATAGATTCATTCAAGAGTCAATTGATCTCGCTTCCAATTCATCGCATTCTCAACCCATTCATCCCCGATATCGTATCTTTGCTGCAATCACCATGACACAAGACACCAAGCATGAGGCTCTCCAGCCTGTTCATCCCTCAATGAAGGGCAAACTCGACCCTGTCTTTGAGAAGCTCTACAACGACAACGTCGCCAACACTCCCCTCAAACCAATTGATCTCGGCATCCTCCGATCGAAATACTCAGTTCTCTACTCGTACGGCACTGGTCCTGCACCGGATGTCGCGCGCCAATACGATACCCAGATCGTCACTCATGAGGGCATCACTCTAGATGTTCGAGTGTATGAGCCCGACACTGCAGGTCCATGGCCTGTACATATCGACTACCATGGTGGCGGCTGGGGTCTAGGCGATCTTGATACCGAGAGCCATATTTGCAAGCACATCTGCAATGTCGCTGGCGTCGCCGTCATTGACGTCGCATATCGTCTTGTACCCGAGAATGCTTTCCCTTGTGGTATTACCGATAGTTTCGCTGCTCTCAAGTACATCCACGAAAAGGGCGCTGAGCGATTCAGCATTGACCCTGAGAGAATCTCGGTTGGTGGAGTCTCAGCTGGTGGATTCATCAGTCTTGCGCTGGCGCACATGGCCCGCGATGCAGGAATCCCTCTCAAGCTCGTCGCTGTTGGAACACCAGTGATTGACGATTTAAGTCAATATTCTTCAGCATCAGATTCACCGTTCAAGTCGATGCAAGAGAATGAGCATGCGCCCACACTCAATTGGGGCCGACTAGCTTGGTTCGACAAGCTCAAATGGAGTTCGCTGGGCTCAACCCCTGAAGAGATCGCTAAGAAGCGTGCGCAAATACCTGCGATTTATGGCAACCTGTTCAAGGCGGACAACTATAATAATCTCGCAAAGACTGTCATTTATACAGCTGGCGCCGACCCGTTGAGGGACGAGGGCGAGGCTTACGGCATGAAGTTGATTGAGCATGGCAATGAGGTGACGTTGAAGAGGTTCCCCGGCGTACCGCATCCGTTTATGCATATGGATAAGGATCTTTGGCAGGCGAAGGAGTTTATTCTGCAGACTGCTGGTGCTATTCGAACTGCTTTACATGAGCTATAGTCTCAGACAGTGTAATTAAACCATTCTATTAAACAGAAACATGCCATAAGCATCGATATCGTGAGTCTGTATGAATCAATTCGCGAGAGAGCAAGGGTGCAATCGATGAGCCCGCGATGCTCAGAGAATTGGCAGCTCAAGCCAAGGCCCGTCGCTGAAGACCTCGCTGTTAGCGGGCTATCTCCCCATACCCGACAGCGCTATCTAACCCCGCTTGGTGCCACTGTAGCGCCTGATATGAGGGATACCATATCACCAAACTAGCTGTTAGCAGCCTAGCACTTACGCGCTATCAAGATAACGAGGGAGCCGGTTCCTAATTCCGGGTGACCCATACCTCCTCCCTCTCATTACCCCAGCTTTTCCTCCTCCTCGCTGACTTCGAAACCATGGCGACGCGCGAGCGACCGAGTAATACCTGCTTACGGTGCGCCGAGATCAAACAGCGCTGCAAGGGTGGTGTGCCGTGCGATCGGTGCAGTAGGTTGAGCCTACCTTGTCGTCCAAAGGGGTACTCGGCTTCGTTGTCCGGGGAGTTTGGGCTTGACGGCGGCGATGGGATTTCTGTTGGGCAGCCGAAAGCAAAGATACGCAGGGTGCAGACAGGCTGTTTGACGTGCAAAAGGCGCAAGAAGAAATGCGATGAGCGGTAAGCACCAACCTCGTTTGTCTTGACGAGCCTGATCTCATCATTGTCATAGGAAACCCAGCTGTGGCGATTGCAGGAGACTTTGCCTCGACTGTTCGTGGCCGACAGAGAGGGCTAGTAGACCGAGGCTCAACAGCTGGACCAATGAATCATGGCTTAGCGCAGAACAAGTCCTCGACCTGTCGTCGGAGACATCACCAAGCCCAAATCCTTCGCCAGGTTCAGTCCAATCCAACGTGGACCTGAGTATCGCCGACTTGCTATGCCAAATGTCGACAGCCGTTCCTGTAGATGGTGCCGACGTTGACATGACGGCGACGTTACCAGAACTATCCTGGGACTTGACCACTGACCCAGGCTGGCTCGATATTCTCCCGGAAACACCTCCCATTGCGGAAGACTCACCGGATAGTCTACCAAATACCACGCTCACTCTGTATACGCCGAGTTTGGTACCGGACATGACATCTCCTCACGACAAAGCATTGCTAAACCATTACTCAAATATTGTCGCCTCAGTGCTATCAAGGCATCCAAATACAACATCAAACCCTTACCTCAGTTATCTCGTTCCCATGGCCGTCTCAAACCAGCTCATCCTTCATTGCGTCCTCGCTTTGAGTGCAACGCATTGGCAGAAGCTTCAACCTGACATGCGAGATAGGGCACTGTATCACAAAGGCCAAGCGACGCAATCTCTGGCCGGTCTCCTACCTCATGTAGATGGGGGTTCAGTGGATGTCGCGCTGGTATCCTGCCTACTTCTGTGTATGTCAGAGCTGTTCGATGGCACCTCAGCAGGATGGAAGCTTCATCTCCAAGGCGCAAAACGACTCTTGTCAACAGTCAAATCTCAGACCGGTGGTAATCTGACAGGTCACTTTAAGTTCTTTGTCAAGCTGGCGCGCTTCCTAGATAGTGCAGCGACAACAAGCACCTGCAAGCCTCCTCTGATAGACGACAAGACAGTGGCGACTACACCTGAGCCGACTGAAGATGCCAGCAACGACGATGCTGCAGTTTATGGAATACCGAAAGAACTGTTTCACATGGTCGATCGTGTGAACAATCTGGCCAGCAAACGAGGAACGAGAGTCGATGAGGCTTCCGAAGCGCTATTTCGCGAAGAAGCTGAAAGAGTTCAAGGGAGATTGGATAACTGGGCTTACGACTATGGTGGTCTCGCAGGCGCCGTTGCGTCCTTGTCACCTACCAATGACGACGTCCTCCACGCAACAACCGCATACGAATGGGCACTCCGCCTCCGACTTCACCAAATCACAGAAGGCTACTCGCTTACAGAAAAGGTATTCGAGTGTGTCCAGCACATCCTCGACTCAGCACAGAAGATCCGTTATGGGAGTCCCCTCGAGAGCTGCCTACTATTTCCTCTGGTTATGGCAGGTGGTGCATGCAACTGTCTTGAGCAGAGAATGGTCGTGCAAGATAGGCTGATGATCATGGAGCGGACTTGTGGGTTCGGATATGTACATCAGAGCCGCGAATTAGTAGAGACTGTTTGGAAGAGAAGAGAAACTGAGAGTATGGTTAATTGGGCTAGGATTCGGTATGAGGAGATGGGTGGACTAGCACTATACTGATAGCAATGCAAGATATTACGACCAGACGCAATTGCACTCGTGAAACATTTAAAGAAAAGGCTATCAAAGGAGAGGACTATTTTAAACGGGCTATATATACACTCCAACACTCTCTACGAAGAGACCTGCGCATCATTGACCAACCCAGCGATATGAGCATGCATATCATAGGCACAGACCTCATCAATCGTCAACATCCCCGGCTTCGTGTTCTTGCTCGACCAACCAATCCTTTCATTCAAGTTCTCCCTCGCACGCTTGCTCGCTTCTTGCAATCTTGTAGCACGTGGCTTGCGCTCCGCTTCATACAGCTTGAGGCGCTGCTCAACACTCAAGTCCGAATACTTCTCTGAAAAGAGAATACCCAATGCGCCCGCGTCTTCGATGGCCATGCATGCACCCTGACTTTGATCTGGCATCATGGGATGCGCAGCATCGCCCAGCAGTGTGCAACGGCCTTTTGTCCAGTAGGGATAGGGATCGTGGTTGTATAGACGCCACATCTTGATGTCTTCGGCGTTGAGGAAGAGCTTGATGAGCTTGGGATCCAGCCCAGGGAATGTAGAAGCAAGGACGTCGCCAGTGGTGGAGATATTCCAGCCATCTTCCTTGGTATCATTCTTCTCGGCTGGATAAAAACAGTAGCATGAAACCACGTTGTTATCGCTGCATGCTGATAGAACGATCTTGGTCTTTGTGTCGCCGCCCCAAAACTCGATTGCCTCGTTGTTGATATACTCCTCGAGGCCGAGCTCACGTAGCTTGTCGGCGTAGATGATGCAGCGATAACAGCAAGATGTGCTAGGCACAAAATTTGGAATAACGCCAATTTGCTCCCGCATCACGCTTCGGATACCGTCTGCGCAAATAATGGCATCATGTGTAGCTTCATTACCGTTCTCAAAGGTGATGTGACCAGTTTCAGTGTCAAGCTTGGATGCCCTGTGCCATGTCTTTAACTCAGCAGGTCGACCTTTGCCGCTTGGCGACAAAGCAGTGTCCTTGAGGTGATTATGCAGGTCGATTCGATGAAAGTTGTTGTAGTCTGTGCCAAAGCGTTCGCGATAGTCTCCCAATGGGTATGTGCCTTCGACTTCTCCAGTAGAATAGTCATGGCGGATGAGGTTTCGCAAGATGACTGGCTTGGCAGCGGGAATGTCAACGTCCCATTCTTCCAAGAAGCGAGAGCCGTTGGAGGCGACTGAAAGCGATGCACCGACTTCGCCACCAAAGTCGTAGCGCTCGTAGAGAGTGACTTGGTGGCCGGCTCGTCGGAGGGCGATGGCGGCGGAGAGACCACCAAGACCGGAGCCGATGATGCCTATTGAGAGAGACGTTTCTGTTCGTCCAGGCATGTTGTGATGTGAAGAGCTTGTGTGGATAAGTCGAGACTATGATTGAGCCGTTTGGCTTAGGGATACAGGGAGGTGCTACAGGATGCAATGAAGTACTGTGTAAGATGTGATTGAGGGTTTTGACGAGAAGATTGTAATTGAAGTTCTAATTATATGTATCGTAGTCTTATGCCCGGCGCTCAACGCGTGTCATTGCTCTCGTCTCATATCATCCCAACCCTAGCCTGCTCCGCCCTCGGACGACTGAGGCTGAAAACCACTATCTCAAACCGCGCGGACCGCTATCAACACGACGAACCCAAGAACCATTCCTGGGACCTCGAAGCGACGGGCGGGGAAGTAATCCACACGATTTCATTGGTCCCGCCCATCAGGATCCGACGGTTGCAGCTTTATCGCGGTCTAGCCCAATCTAGATAGAGTTTACCGACGTATCATCATTCCCCAGGTTTTTGGAGTCCAGACTCGGAGCTATGACTTGAATTCTGTCAAGATAACATTTCAACTGCTCATGCTTGGCTACTAGATGCCCTAATGGTGGTATCGCGGGCTCGAGGTACTTAACCCTGTCTTGTCGTCCCATTGAGGCATCTGCTTTTAGCTTCAGTACAGGCTGCCTTCGTCTACCGATCGCTACCTTGCCACTGATTGAACTCTTCACCAAAACATCTGACTTCTTCTTCAACTCACGACAACTACTTGCGCATCGGACAGGTGAGTACCTAACAACTTGCACTGCTGCATCTGTCTAACATCCTGTGGCAGCTTCACCATGACTCCTACCGACAACGAGAAGATCCCAGACATCATGCGTCCTCCCTCCGTCACCAAAGGCTCAGTCCAAGATGTCATCAGCGAAGCATCCCTGAAGCCGATCACTCGCAAAGTCGACTACCACCTCGTTCCTCTTATGCTAGTCTGCTACTTCCTCCAGTTCCTTGACAAAGTCCTCATCAACTATGCCAACATCATGGGTCTTTCGGAGAACCTCCACTTCACTGGAAATGACTTCTCCTGGATGGCCACCGCTTTCTTCATCGGTTTCGCCGTTGCTGAATTTCCTCAGGGTGTCTTGATCCAGAAGTTTCCCGTCAGTAAGGTCCTTGGCCTCAACGTTGTTCTCTGGGGTATCGTTATCTGCTGCTCTTCCGCTGCTCATAACTTCCCTGGTATGACCGCTGCGAGAACTCTTCTTGGCATGTTCGAAGCCGTTATCTCACCTGCCCTCATCATGATCACTTCACAGTGGTACACCAGAAGACAAGCAACCCCAAGAACCGGTATCTGGTACTGCGGTCTTGGTATCGGCCAGACTGTTGGTGGACTGATCTCTTATGCTGCCCAGCATGGTAGCCGAACCAGCAGCTTCCAGAGCTGGCGTATCATGTTTGTGTCAGTTGGTGCCTTCAATGTCATGATCGGTCTTCTTGTTCTCTTCTGGATGCCTTCCAGTATTAAGGATGCCAAGTTCCTCACAGAGCAGGAGCAGGTCATGCTTCAAGAAGCACTTGATGCTGATCAGGGAGGGAAAAGCGCCAAGGTCTTCCGCCGCGCTGGTATTTGGGATGCTCTCAAGGATATCCAAGTTTGGTTGCTTTTCCTTAACACTATTCTCATCGTTATCCCATCAGGCATCATCACGACCTTCTCTGCTACTCTAATCCGCGGCTTCGGTTATGACCCCAAACAGGCCGCTCTTCTCAACATGCCTGCTGGCGTTGTATCAGTGTCAGCCACCTTACTCAGCACTTTCGCCATCCTCTACGGGTTCCCACGATGGCTGGGTCTTTGCCTTCTCATGGTCCCAACTCTGATCGGCGCAGGGCTCATGTCCTTCTACTCCAGCAGTCAAGCCGGCTCTCTCGCTGGTATCTATTTGATCAACTTCGACGTTGCACCTCTCGCACTTATTTATGCTCTTGTCGGAGCCAACGTTCAAGGGTACACCAAGAAGGTCACTACCAACGCCATCGTCGCTGTTGGCTTCTCCATTGCCAACATCATTGGCCCCCAGACTTTCCAAGCGAAGGATGCCCCAAGCTTCATCCCTGCAAAGATCACTGTCTTCTGTGTCTGTGGTGCCTCCGTGGTTATTACGATCCTTACCAGAATTCTTTATGGCCTTAGAAACAGGAAGGGAAGAGTTTCGCAGGATCTTGGTCAGAGTGGAGAGGTTGATCCGGATACCATGACGGATAGGAACAACCCTAACTTCTTCTACGTTTACTAAACAAGACTAGTTGGTTTCATAGTAGTTTATTGCTTTAGGAATGAATTTAAGCCATTTAACCTATCACATCTGTCTCTCTGAGAAATAGTTTACCCTCTTTCTAGTCACAATATGGTTAGAAGCATCACGGCACTAAAGTCTTAGGGATTGTAAGTATTTAATTGCGCTATTCAAACTAATTGGTCCTCAAAGCAAGACTACCATGGGTTGCCGGTTGGTCCACCGAACTGCAACCTGTAAGCAAGAGCCGCTCGCCGAGGAGTTAGATCCATGATCTCACAGGTCGTTGGCAAAGAATACAGGCTTGGCAGCATGTTTGTTTACGCGAAGGCTCAGCTGGTCGGGTCGCGAGTAGTGGCCGACAATGTCCAAGTTCTGCTTCGCCTTGTACTTCTCCTCAAGGTTGATATCAGCGTAAAGAATACCCTCCTCGTTAGGAGCAAGGGGCTTGACAAGCTCCTCTCCGAAAGGCGAGAAGATCATACTGAAGCCGCCGCCAGACTTCTTAGTATAGTCGTAGCCCTCAACATTCGCTTTCTTATGGTTCTCCTCAGTCATGATCTGACTTGCCAGAAGAACGAAGCAGGCTCCCTCCATGGAGACGACGTGAGAGAAGGCCTTGCAGCATTCGGGAGTGATATGGTATGGCCACTCGGGGACGTTCTGGGGGAAGATAGAAGGCCAGCTGGAGACGTGGATATCGACATCCTGGGAGTATTCATAGTAGCGGAGAAGCGTCTGGGTGTGCTCCCAGCAGTTAAGACCAGCAACCCTGCCGAATTTCGTGTCGGCGACATTGGTCAGAGACTCACCCTGTCCGTCACCATAGATAGCACGCTCAACATGAGTGGGCTTGATCTTGCGGCGGTGAAGAACAATAGTGCCGGTCTCGTCGATGAAGGACTTATTCCGTCAGCACACCGAAAGGTTCAATTAGTAGCACAACTCACCTGTGCGATGTAAAGAGTTCCCCTGTATCTCTCACTATATCCAAGGACTACAAAGACGCCTGCCTCTCGAACAGCAGCTCGGATCTGGTCCATCTCTGGTGACTCTCTCTCCAATGAGTTCTTGAAGTACTCATTGACCCATGGTGCGTTCTCAGTAGGCGAGTTGGCCCAGATGCTCCTAGAAATGAATAAGCTGATCTGCCCATGTTTCCTAAGTCTTCTACTTACCATGGATATCCAGGAATGAAGACTTCAGGGAAGCCGATTACGTTGGCACCGTTCTTTGCTGCCTCTTGGATGAGGCCGATGGACTTGTTGACACCGCCCTGGAGATCGTTCCAGACGGGCTCGGCTTGGATGGCGGCGACCTTGAGGGACTTGGACATCTTGATAGATTGTAGTTGAGTTTGTGAGTTTGTGTTGGTGGTTGTGTTGGTGGTTGTGTTGTTGATGCTTGTGTTGGAC